CCAAACGCATCCACATATACAACAGCAACAACTGAATCAAACTTGAAACATAAATTACAAACTATTAAAGAAATATCTTAATACTTATTTTACATATCATATATTTAAAGAATCACAAATATTTTATTTATTTCACGTAGCGAACTGTGAAATTGTGTCATAATTGTGTCTACTTACATATAATTCATGTCCTTTTTTCCTCACTAAAAATAAATTATATTGATATTATTGTCAGAATTTTTATTGCAAATTGTCGTTGCCTTTTGCATACAAAATATTTTATAAAGTGACGAATAGCAAATTCACTTTATTATCTGCTTTTCTGCCAATTACAAATGTGATCGCAGATAAAACTAAAATTACTCATTTATTTATTTATGGTCTGTATATTTATATATATATATATATATATATATATATATATATATACAGGGCCAGTCCTGCCTTGCATGCCATGCATGCAAAAAATGCGGGCGCACGCCTTAGGGGGCGCCAAAACGAGTTTCGGAAATTAAATTTATAATATAATATTTATATTTTTTATATAAAATCTAGAATTATTTATTTAAAATCTAGAATACTTAATAAATAATAATAAATAATTTAATTTAACTAGGGATACGGAGACACAAAAAGTATATTTATTTTGCAATGTGATATCAGTAGAAACAATTAACCAATTAATAATTCTGCAAATTAGTAATAAACAGCTCTGTTTATTGCTTAATCCACTTATTCAATTTTTTCTTTGTTTGAAGTTACCGTGGAATCGAAGAAGAAATTATCTAGTGTTCATTCCCATAAGCGCAAACCTGCGAAAGATTAAATTAATTGTTGGGCATTATTGACGAAAAATTGCGAGCTGATTTAGTTGAATCGGAACTTGTCAAATAATATAAACAAATTATAAAAAATGAGGAGGCAGTGCTTATAAAATGACTTGTTTATTCCGAGAAATTGAATTGTAACTTTTGCTTTTGTTGCAAATGTTTCGCATCAAAAAAGCAAAATTTACTTTGGAACGAAAATTTTAAGGCTTGTTTTATATCTAGTGGTGTCCATACTCTAAATTTAATAATTATTAACTATACAGAAATGATACATATGAAATATAATAATTTTTTTTTTTCAATATTGTTCAAGAAATGTGTAATTAATTTGCATTTTTTTTACTGATTTTTGAATAATACTTCTAAAATACGTTAAAAATTTAACTTTAAAACAACAAGCTGATACTCTGACTATGACGGCTCTTACGATATCAATAAGGAGAAGTTTACGACCCAATTTTGGATATTGTGAATAATGAAAAATTTAAAAAATCCAACATGAAATACGAGTGTTATATTTGAAAAAGAAATGCTTGTTTTTTTAAATATTAATATTACACATACGTTAAAAATAATTGAAAATTCCAAAATATTTGATTATAATCAACCTACGAATCGCCTCGATTTTCTAAACAAATTTAAAATCAATATATTTTATAAGTTTTTAGATTTTATCTAATTTTTTGTGCCCTAAATCCAGAATAATTAAAAATTAATTTATTTATTTCACTTAATATTTTTGTCAAATTAAAGTTATAGAATTTAAGAAATGCATTTCAGAAATAGTATTTATTATTCAGATATTAAGATCTTTATATCAAAATAATAATACTATTTCTGAAATGCATTTCTTAAATTCTATAACTTTAATCTAACAAAAATATTAATTCTTTTGCTATGGTAGTCGAACTTACATCTTTAACCAATTTACTACATATTGAATATTACTAAAATGTGAAATTATGACAGGGATTGTTTTATTTATTGATATCGATAATAATAAATAAATTTAAAATCAATATATTTTATATCCTTCTAGATTATATCTAATTTTTTGTGTACTAAATCCAGAATAAACTAGCTGTAAGTGGAATTCTGTCTTGAGGCAATTATGGCATCGTGCCTTAAGGCAAATTGCGGAAACTTCCCGTACCGTAACGAAATGTTCGAGGAATACCGAATGTTTTCAAATAGATTATTATAAATATTGTAAAATTGTCTAATGTTTATAAGAATTATATAAACTGAATTGCAAAGTTGAAATTATTTGTAAAGTATAATCTGAATGATTTTCGATATACAAAAATTTAAAAAAAAAAAAAAAAAAAAAAAAAAAAATGGAACAAATTTTTTTTTCCAAAATCAATTATTTTGTTAAGACAAGCAGAAAGTTCTTTGAATCAATTGAATCGGACGCTTAGTTCTCTCAAAAACTGCCATTTTTTGTATATTTAGCTCTGTATCTCCGAAATGGCTGGGCCTGCCTTTGCGAAAAACTAATAACCCCTTCTCCCAATCATTACTAATTGAATGTTTTTTAGATCATTCAAATCGGATGCTCCGTTCTCTCAAAAACTCGATTTCTATTTTCTGCACTCTTTGCTCTTTATCTCCGTAACTGCTGGACCTGCCTTTGCCAAAAACTAATCAGCACATCTCCTTATCAATAGGAATCGAATGTTTTTTAAACCATTCAAATCGGTTGATCCGTACGCCCGAAAACGTGGGCGAAAATTTGTATCCATACATACATACACACACACACACACACACACACACATCCATTTTTTCTGAAGTATGCCAAAACGTTCAGAAACCTTCAAAACGTCGAGAAATGTAAAAATTTTCAATTCCGATTTTCGGCCCATTACAATAACTTACCCTACGGGAAGTTAATAAAAATTAATTTTTAAAAAATATGTGAATATTTATATAATTTTAATGATAAACTTTTAAGACGGTGAAAATTAATAGGGGGGGGGGGAGGGCGCTGGAAAGAAAGTTGCATGCGGGCGCTAAGGACCCCAGGACCGGCCCTGTATATATATATATATATATATATATATATATATATATGGGTCATTCTTTTACAAACCGGACACTAATTAACCTTGACATTTTAGAATTATCTGAAAATTTGTTTACAGATACTATTCATAAAATCATTTGACACGTATTTCAGGATTTTGCTGAAAAAACTTTTTTTACGTAAATATTTACGATTGAAATATGGATTTTTTGCTCAATTTCTATGAACATCATCTGCGGTAAATTAATTATCTCCGGATGTGCTGATCCGATCAGTATTATTTTTTTTTATTACACTCATATTGAAGTGAACTTTGTAATGATTAAAATTTTTGTTTTTGTTTTTGCAATTTTCTTAACAATAACAACCCTTAAATATTTACAATGGTTTTACTCGGCCTTTACCCGAATTGAATCAATCCAAAAAAAAACATATATTTTCTTTTTTTCTCTGCAACAAAATTCTTTTTACAATTTGTTGGAGGCTTTGTTACATCGAAAGATATTAAATATTTTCAAGCGCGAGCCGCGCTTTTCACGTCGTGGACCTCAAAGACTTGTACTCATTTGTCACTTTCGAATGACAAACTTATTGTTTTTCGGTTGAAAAATATTTTATAATTTCGCTTCTGGCGAAAAATGAACATATAGTCGAAAAAAAAACATTAGGGGAGAGCGGAGCTTAAAAGTTCGTGGGTAAAAAGATCCACTGCCAATATCTCAAAAACAAGTAAAGTTAGAAATTTTTTAACAACAATATTTGAATATAGAGGAATATTTAAGTTGACTTCAATGGAATTAAATTTTAAAATTTTATTAAAAATGAGTTCACCGGGCTATCTAGCATGTTAATAAAATTCTTTCAAAATTATCTTCCCTTACTGTAAATTGATTCAAATTGATATTTGTACTTGATCTTGGCCCTTGTCTAAATTTCTATAAATGTTTTATTGAATAGAGTGGCATGTTTCAGTATCGTAGAAATTAGAAAATGTTGAGAATGATTTAGGAAATTTTGATGTTTAAATTGCATATTTATATGTTATTTGATTTTTTAAGATAAATCGAAACGCAATCAATATCTGATTAATTGGAATTTGCAATAAATATATTGAACATACGAAGTGGGTAAACCTGCCAGTTTTATTGTATTAGCAAAATATGGCCAATTATATTGGAAAAAGTAAAATTTGAGGTTTTATTGTGTTTATATCACCTCATTTTCTTTAGCACTTATACACCACATACTTACACAGATACATCCTAATATATATCATTATAGCAACATCCTAAAACGTTTGCGGGTCAGCTAGTATATATATATATATATATATATATATATATATATTTGTAATATTTTTGCAGTCCAACCGTCGAATTAAAAAAAGATTAAATAACAAAATTATTTATTTTATTAAACGTTTCGACACTTGATGTGTGTCATCATTCAGTAATCTAAAAAAACATATAACATAAATACACAGTTGATAATAAATATAAATATATAAAAGGAGGAAATTATGCATACCAAACCAGGAAAAACAACAGAAAAAAATAATTATGATGTAAAATTGATTGAACACTAAATTAGTGTAAAATAATAAAATTAAGTAGAAGGAGCACATATTGCCCTCTGCAAAAATATTACAAATATGTATCAACGTCGACAAAACTATCATATATATATATATATATATATATATATATATATATATATATATTAGTTTCGTTTAACGATTGGGTGTTACATGAATAAAAATTGTATGAATCCTTTTTTTTACAAATTTATTTTAAATCAATACGTTTCGGCTAACATACAATAATTAAACTATTGTATTCAACTAATAAACATAATAGTAATAATTAACAAAAATATATGATTTTAGTATTTTTCTTGAAATTAAATAATGAACAAAGACTCATTTTTGAAAAATGTTGGTACACTTCCATGTTTATCTTATAGAATGTCTTATACATTTAAGGAAGCACCAGGCTTCCAAATATATTTTACAAATTAGAATAATATAAGTCAATATATATGTATATCAGTCTATATTATACATTCGTAATTAATACAAGTAAGGTATACTTTACATAGTTTTATTATTATAATATAAATAGATTAAATAAATGCATTGAATTTCAATCGAAATTGTTATAAATATCAAATGTTTCTAAATAATCTAAAGCAGCTTCGAATAAGTAGGTATATTGTTCCTGAAAATACAAAGTTGGATGAGCATTCAATTTTATCCAAAATAAACCCACCTCCGAATCAAACTCACCTCGTGATTTATAAATTCCTTTCGATGTTTTCGAATAGTTCTAATTGCTAAAGGAACATCACATTCCTGTTCCAACTTCATTTTTTCTATGACGAATGCCATTGCAGCAAAAAGACCACATGCAGTTGCTCCGTCGCTAAAATAGGAAAAAAATTGATGAACAATTACAAAAAACCTAATTAGACTTTTACAAAATTTGATTGTTTTCCAAACTCTAAATTTGTTTCCCAAATCCAGTAAACCTACTAGATGCAAATCGCATCTATTATCTATTACCCAACTTACTAGCAAGTTAGTAGAACTGGATTATTTTCACTTGCATAAACATCTTTTTGTATAATTTCCCAAAGCCATCTGAGAAGTTCAAGATCTCTAGTATTATTTTTATTGGGCACCACTTGATCAGATTTCCAGTTTTTCACCTGCACAACCTTAACCTCCAATACTTTTCGGGGCTGTTAATAAAAAAATTTTAAAATTAATTCGACTGATGTCAAAAATGTGATGTCAAAGAAGTATTTGTAACCTTGGCAGCGTCTTGGAGTTTCACATCAGTGATTTTGCAGTTGTCATTAATTTGCATCTCTTCGAAAGCTACAGAAATTCGTGGTAAAGTGAATATTGACTCTTCTTCATTTGGTATGAAATTATTGACAGTCTACAAACAGAGCAAAATTAATGTTAAATCTTTTTTACTGATGTTCAGTTGATCTCAAAGCTAGATGTTATATACTTACGTTGTCGTTAGTATCAATTTCATTTAGTACCACAATTAATGTGATCCCTTTATCAGACACCATTCTCCAGAAATCGCCTATGGTGTGCTCCAAAGGAAATTGTGTTGCAATAAATTGGGCCTTCATTCGAAAACCATCAACCACGACTGCATTTATATAATCCGAATCAGCATTCGAAAGTGGAAAACGTGATATGAACACACGTCCTCTGCATCCTACAAAAACAACATAAAACATCATCATTGTAATTCTGAATCTTGATTTTATTTTCCCACCTGGTACAATCCTGTTCCTGTTTTCCTTTCTCTCAATGTCTGGTTGAGCTGGAGCATCTTGAGAACCTTTTGTATAATCATCCTTCCAAGAGTTGACTGCCAATTTTCGTAATTCCTCGCCAGCTTTTTTGGAATGCTTCAATCTTGTAACATGTTTCCTCAATTCCATACAAGAAATGCTGGTGGATGCTCCAAAAAGACTTTCCAAAATTATCATGTGCACCAATTTATATTGGTCCTGAAGAAAAATAGTGCATTTTAGATATAATGATTGTGAAGTGATTAAAAATTGGTTGGTGGCTCACATTGTTGTCTACAAGGTTTGCTCGCTGCTTTCGTATCCGTTTTTGGTGATATAGTACATCAATTTTTTGGGTTTTTTGTGCCATTTTTATGCAAATGTCTGCAAGTATTATTGTACCAGTTCTGCCGACACCAGCACTGAAAAGTGATAAAAAAAATTTTTGGTCATCAGAAACTGAGTTGGGGGTAAATACAAATTTTATATTTTTACTAGCAAACCCGACGAAATCCGTTTCGCCACCAGATGGTTATGAGGAATTTTTTGTTTGTTTTATATTTGAAAAGGAAAAATTTCATTTTATTACACAATAGTAATAAATTTATTTCGATCACAAAAATGAAGTGTTTTTTAGTTGAACTTCTTTAAGTAAATGAAATTGATTCCGCAAATTATCCGTTTCTTTGAAGTGCTCTTTGGTAAACCACATTTTTTGTTTTTTGGTCTGACGTTAATACGAACAAAGCGGATGGTTTTCCAACTCGTGAACAGGCAACGTATAACTGCCCATGTGAAAAACAATGATTTAATAAATAATCTATTTGAAATTTATCCCGCAAACACTAAGCGATTGGCCTTGCGACTTGTTAATTGTCATTGCGAACGCAAGGCGAATTGCAATCGTTTGAAGTCAAACGGAAGACCAGTCGGAATCATTGGTATGTCACCAAATCGCCAGAAATTTTTGATTAAATGGTAAAATTCATTGCGTGTGCATCATTATTCTTTGCGGCAAGAATTGCTCGTTGACTCAACCAAGCATAATTCTGATAATTCTCACTAATGTCATTACTCGAATTTTTAATTACGGTGCGTGAAGTTCCAGCAATTTGCATTACGGCAACACTAATTTTCTTAGCTATAAATCTTGCGGAGCCCGAGACCTTTCCAACGAATGCAAAATTGTCCAAATAGGTTCATGCGTTCTGGAGTTATATCGTCAGGAAGGAAACCCCGACTTATTTTTATACATATGTAGATACACAAAATTTGGGTGTAAATACAAATTTTATATTTTTACTTCTAAATACCTGCAATGCACTATTTTTGGATTATTCTCTGATTCGAAATTCTGAAACTTCCTTAAAAATGGAACCAAAGATTCGGCATACTGTGTTACACCGTGATCTGACCAACTGACGAAATGCATATGTTCCACCTGATTTAAAATATTTTTTTTTAAATTGATTCCAAGGATTTATAATTGTTTTTTTACCGTATGCTTAGAATTCTGGGATTGGACGTGCAATGTGCTATAAACATAATCTGCATAAACCATACTGTGTAAATTTATCACGACAATATCATTATATTTCAAGGAAGATCCTTTTGTTATTGGCCAATATTGGAAACATTTATCCTGAAATTGAAAAATTAAATTATGAATCTTGAGATAAATAAAAAATATTAGTAAAAGTTATCTTAGCTTATTCTTTTTACCTTGCCATCTTCCTTGGTCTGTGTCAACATACAAATCACTGATACTTTTTCCTGCAAAACCATTCTCCAAAAATCGTAAACTGTACTCTCTTTAGGTCCTTGAGTTGCAATGTATTCTTTTGGATGTTCAAACCCCTAGACAAATGGAAATAGATTTAAACTAGTGCTGTATGGCATTGTGCCTTAAGGCAAATTGCTGGAACTTCCCGTACCGTAATGAAATATTCGAGAAATTTTAAACGTTTTCAATTATATTATTACAAATACTGTAACTTTCATTATTTTTGCTATTTTGTTATATCTGAGCAAATCAAATGTAAATCATAAATCAATTTAACTCCAGAATATTCGTCCGGACAATCGTCATTTCATTTCGAATTCAATTTCAAAACAAAAAATAGTTGCCTAATTTGCACAAAATTGAAAAAGGGCTAAGTATAGTCACAGCCTAAACGCATTTGCAAATAATTCTGTGCGACATTTTTACTTATACTGTGCTTAGCTTGGCGGTATTTTCACATTTTTCAATAGTTGCAAAAGTGCTCCTGTACAAAATTGCAAAAGTGCTCCTGTACATAAACAGTCTAAACGCACTTGGGTAAACATTTGTACCAGGGTGGCGCTTAGACTGTGCTTAGCCTGGGTAATTTTTAAAATTTTTAATCCAAAATTACAAAAATATTTTATGAAAAATAAAAACAGATGTAATAATTTTTTTACAAGCAGAAAGTTTTTTAGATCATTCAAATCGGACTTTTAATTCACTCAAAAACTGCCATTTTTTACACATTTAGCTCTGTATCTTCGAAATGGCGGGACCTATCTTTGCCAAAAACTAATCACCTCTTCTCCCAATCATTACAAATTGAATGTTTTATCATTCAAATCCGATACACCGTTCTCTCAAAAACTCGATTTGTATTTTCTGCACTCTTTGCTCCGTATCTCCGTAACGGCTGGACCTGCCTTTGCCAAAAACTAATCAGCACATTTCCCTATCAATACGTTTAAATTAACGTTGGCAACACAAATTGATGAGGTTTACCAGAAACTGGCAACTTCTACTTGAAAATGATAATGGGTAGATTTTGACATAGGGATTCAAAATTTACCACATCCGTCAGAAATTGGTGATATGTATTAGAAACTGACCATATAGATCACACGATTTATGATATTGAGCAGAAATTTGATATTTTAGGAAATCGGCCAAAAATTGACAATATCAACTAGAATTTTAATATTGATTAGAAATTCAAAAGATTGATTAAAAATTTAAGACATCGTCTAGAAATTGACGATTATTGACTAGAAATTCACAACCTGAACTAGAACTACAAGACATTGATTAGAAATTAAGGACATTGATCAGCAATTGAAGACATTGATCAGAAATTGAAGGCATTGGTTAGAAATTTAAGACATTGTTCAGAAATTGAAGGCATTGATTGAAAATTGAAGGCATTGGTTAGAAATTTAAGACATGGAACTAGAAATTGAATACACGGATTAGAAACTGAAGACTTCTACTATTAGTTGAAGATCTCGTCTAAAAATTGTCGATTATTAACCAGAAATTGACAATCTGGACTAGAAATCGAGGGCATTGCTTAGAAATTGAAGATTTTGATTAGAAATTGAAGACATTGATCAGAAATTGAAGCCATTGGTTAGAAATTGAAGGCATGGATTATAAATTGACAACATGAACTAGAAATTGAATACATGGTTTAGAAACTGAAGACTTTTACTATTAATTGAAAACATTGTCTAAAAACTGACGATTATTGACTAGGAATTGACAATCTGAACTATAACTCCAAGACATTGATTAGAAATTAAGGACATTAATTAGAAATTAAAGACATTAATCAGAAACTGAAGACATTGGTTAGAAACTTAAGACATGGATTATAAATAGACAACATGAACTAGAAATTGAATATATGGATTAGAAATTGAAGATTTCTACTTTTAGTTGGTCATCGTCTAAAAATTGACGATTATTGGCCAGAAATTGACAACCTAAACTAGAAATTGAAGACATTCATTAGAAATTGAAGACATTGATCAGAAATTGAAGGCATTGGTTAGAAATTTAAGACGTGGTTTATAAATTGAAGACATATTAGAAACTGAAGACATTGACTATTAGTAGAAAACATCGTCTAAAAATTGATGATTATCGACCAGAAATTGACAACATAAACTAGAAATTGAAGATATTGATGACATCGATTAGAAATTGAGGAAATTGTAGACATTGGTCACAAGTTAAAAAAATTGAAGACATTGATCAGAAATGGAAGACATTGGTTAGAAATTGAAGACATCGACTTAGTTGAAGCCATCGTCTAGAAATTAACGATATCTTCCAGAAATTGACAATATGAACTAGAAAATGAAGACGTCGATTAAAAATTTGATACATTGATTAAAAATGGAAAACTTTGATGAAAAATGAAAGACAACTGATATTAGTTAGACTAGATGTTTACCAGAATTGACGATTTCAATTAGAAACCTATTATTTCCACGACAAATTTACTTTTTCCATCAGAGTTTGAGATTTTGTAACAGATTTTACTTCCCAAATTAATTGGAGCCAACTATATTATCAATAACAACGAGAAATGAATAAAATAATTATGAATGACTTTATAGCATGTCGAAATGGTTTTAAAAATTATCAAAAAAAATCTGTTAATTTAATACTAAGTCATTTCTCAAATAAACATTTTTTCTGTGTGATTTTTGTAAAAATGTTAAAAGTATATAAATAAAATTATGGAGAAAATAAAATCATGGAGTACAATTAAAATAATGATGATTTATGTTGTTTTTGCATGATCAATTATAATTACTTACGTCAATGTAGTTGGCATTGATATAATCAGAATTTGGATCATTTGGAAGTGGTTGCAATTTTACTCTGGTGCTATCGTCTTAAATAAAAAAAAACATGAAGGAATTATATTTATTTATATAAATTATGATCCTGAAACTATATTATTAATTAAATAATTGCTTACATGCGATTAAATTTATGTAACGATTCTTGGTTTTATTCTCAATTTTTGCTCCAACTGTAACAGGATACAGCAAATCTCTTGGGAATATCTAAAAATAAAATTAAAAAAATATATACTTACAATTAATAGAAATTTATTGAGAAATATAGGTATTTTTTTATTATTGGTAAAACTATTAAGCTCTTCCCAAAAAGCTAACAGGAATGAAAATAAAATTAGCAATAATAAAGTTGATACAATATCTGTTGGTCCAATATTATGGAGGAAAAGTATTGGAAAATAAATTAAATTACAAAAATCTATTTTGGTTAAAATATTCTTAAAAAGTTTAGGCAACTTGTCTCAAGGCCACATACAACTAGTTACTTTACACTTTGATACAAATATATCTTGGAACATCAAAATGTTATTTGAAATTGGAGACTTGCATTAGAAATTGTCGAAGAGTTGCATTTGAAATTGAAGAGTTGCATTTGAAATTCGAAGAGTTGCATTTGAAATTGAAGAGTTGCATTTGAAATTCGAAGAGTTGCATTTGAAATTCGAAGAGTTGCATTTGAAATTCGAAGAGTTGCATTTGAAATTCGAAGAGTTGCATTTGAAATTCGAAGAGTTGCATTTGAAATTCGAAGAGTTGCATTTGAAATTCGAAGAGTTGCATTTGAAATTCGAAGAGTTGCATTTGAAATTCGAAGAGTTGCATTGGAAATTCGAAGAGTTGCATTGGAAATTCGAAGAGTTGCATTGGAAATTCGAAGACTTGCATTGGAAATTCGAAGACTTGCATTGGAAATTCGAAGACTTGCATTGGAAATTGGAGAGTTGCATTTGAAATTGAAGAGTTGCATTGCAATTCGAAGAGTTGTATCAGAAATGGTTGAAGACTTGCATTAGAAATTTTTGAAGACTAGCATTAGAAATTGAAGGCTAAGCGAATTTTTATTGTATGTGTGGCTGAAATCATTTAAGAAGCAATAAAAAAAAATCTGTAAAAAATTTTATCCCATCTGATAAGTAAAAGCTATGTTGGGATCATCCCAATTCCATGGTCTTTGGTTATTTTTACTACTATTTATGTAATTTTTCTTACATTGTGTTGTTTTTCCAAAGTGCCATCTGACAAAGACTCCTTAACATAATTTTCAAAATCTTCAACCATCACTGGATGACTAAGAACATCTTTTGTATGCGTTTCGTTCTTAATAGAAATTAGAGGCTTCTGAACATCATTCAAATCAATTTTCGGAGGACCATTTACTTCTGTTCTTTTCAGTCTTGTATTATGAATTTGTTGTTGTTCTGGTTGAGTCAATGCCATATCATTTTGTTTGTTTTTGGGTTCAGTTTTTCTGAACAAGAACCCTGGCTTTTTGTACTTGAACCTGAAACCAAAATTGGAATTAACACTTCTGTAATAATAAATTTACTAGTAATTTCAATACATTTTTATGCGTACTATTCAGCTGGGAAAATGATTCTTTGTGGTTCTGATTATTTTTATAAATGAATACGTTTTTAAGAATTGATAAGATAACAATGATTGCAAATAAATGTGATTCACGTGTACAAGTGCAAAGTTTCCAAAAGTGTGGGAACAATATTAAAAATACCATGTTTTAACAATATTTAAAATATTTATATTTGAAAATAGTTGATTAGATAAATCTATTCTTGGGTAAAATTGCTCTCTTATTTTAGATCAGACATTAAGACAAACAAAGATGATTTATTAAGTTTCTTGACATATTATGGGAAAATATTTTATTAATTTCTTGAAGTACAAATTTTTGTTTCCCACAGATTTACTAATTTATGATAGTTCTTTTTTGGCTTTTTTTTCTAAATCAAATGCCAATTTATTATGAATTGTTTGATACCGAAATTATAAAAAGTAAGAAATTTGACTTTTTTGTCGATGTTTTTTTCAAAAACGGCTGCACTGATCTTGCAAATTTAGAGGCGATGAAACTATAATTATGCATATAAAAATATTTATATAAATAATGCATATATGGTGGCCAACTAGTAGAAGGATTTTAGTGTTATTTTTTTTATTATGAGAATAGTAAAAGTTGTTCATATAAAAAAATAGTATATTATATTTTTAACTAGTGGGGCGCATGACATCGTGCCTTAAGGCAAACTGCTGGAACTTTCCCTACCAATAATTAAGATTTTTAAAAAATCTTTACAATTACAATTTTTTGAAAACTTTGAAAATAATGAGATTTTTGAGAACTTTAATTTTTTTGAATAAAAAAAGACTTTTTTGAGAAAATAATTTTTTTCTATATTGTACTTTGAATTTTTCTGAAAATTTTGTACTTTTTTTCAAGCAAAGCGTACTAATATTAAGTCATATTTTTTGTTAATATAGTTTTTAATTGTAATTAATATTGTATAGTAGTTATCTTGTCTCTATTTGAACAATTTACTATTTTTAACTGTTTAAGAAAATTCACTACTTCTAACAATCAAGAAAATTCTTTTAAGTGTGGAATTTATAATATAAATATTTTTCTTACTTACGCAATGAATATGGCAGCTGCCAAAATTGGAATCAGCAAAAGCAGGAGGAACCATAAGGAAGCTAAAGAACTTGGTTCCAAATCAGTAATTTTCTCATTGAACAAAGTCTTGTATGTGTATTTTTCACCATCAAAGTTGTAAAATACTAAAGCTATCGTGTAGTTTGTTGCTTCTGACAAGACGAAATCTATAAAATCGCCATTCGACAATCCTGTGCCAATCTCCACTTTCTGATGTATCGTTGTATTTTCTGTCTGTAAATGGAATAAGTATTTACCAAAAATCCAATATAAGTTGTGTAAAAAACAGTTTTTATTACCTTCATTCGTTTTGCTATCCATGCAACAAAATTAGATTTAACATCAACTCTAGCCTCTTCAAATATCTTTTTGTATTTAGATTCGTGTTGGTACTGACAATTTCTTTTGTCTTCAGAAACATTTTCACTTTGGAGTTCTCGTACGACCACATAGTAACCACTGCAAAAGAAATACAAATATCATTCCTAGACAACATTTTCTATTATTGCTAATATCATACCTGTTTTTGGTTGAATTTGCTGAACTACTTGTATCAGGAGGAATATTAATTTCTATTCTGTTCGCATCCAGTCGTTTCGTTTCCAATTGTCCATTGAAGTCTGGGATTGGCAGTGGCGTCTTTAATATAACTTCAGCCTCATCTCCCTCCTTGGTATTGAATGCTCTTACTTTTACTTTGTAAGTGCTGGCGAAAGCTATTTCTTTCAACTAAATATTTAAAAAAAATTAAATAAGTTGGCAATGAGGCATTGATGAGATAAGTTACCTTGAATGTATATTGTTTCTGATCTTTGGATACTATAAAATTCTCATTTGGTATATTACTACCAGGACTAATGAGTAGCTCAGATGAATCTAGTGTGCATGATATTTGGAACTGGTTAATTTTTCCACCAGGAATCCAAGGATGTTCCCAAACTATTGTGTCATGATGATCTGGGTCAAAATGCAAGTTCAATGGTGCACTCGGTTCTAAAAAAAATAGGTAAAATATTAAATAAATAGTCGATTTTTTTCCAATTCAATGTAAAACTATATATTGAAAATTTTAGTCATATCCTTGCAAAATGGTTGTCGGTTAGATATTACTTTTAATTGAATTTTTATATTAAAAATATAATTCATTTTAACAATTATTGTTATTTATGCTTTTTGTTTAGTTTTTTGTGAATTTTTGTTTCTATGTCAAATAATTTGTGTTTTGTCTACTGAAGAGATGTCGAATTGGTATCCGAAACGTTTATAAAAAAAATCCAAAAATAATGAAGTATTTTAAATAACTGGGCATATGCCATTTTTTAATTCAAACTTTTTCAAACTATGACTAGAAAAGTGTTCTACATTTGAAAAAGACTTTTGAAATTACCTACTTATCTTATAATAGAATATTTAGGGCTATACATCAAATACAATTTTCGGGATTTTATAATTTTGTTGAACGATCTTTTTTTGTTTTTAATTTAAATTAACAATAAATAGTAAATGGTATTATTGTAAATTGTCGTTAGTTATTTAGGAACATTCCAGTTTATATTTTGCTGAAGAAGACATAGGATAATATGTCTAAACTTATAAAAATACTAAACAATGTTTAAATTTTAGAAATTAATAATTAATATATTGCTCCAAAGGTTTGGACGTATTTCAGCATTAAAACTGTCACAAAATTTATTTGTATGTATTGCAAACAGTAAAATGCAATGCATTTGTCTCACATCTGTCTAATTATTTTTAATTAAGAAGGCAATGTAAAAGTTTTCTTAATCTGGCATACGTTTATGGATGTATATATTTGATAATATATCTTAACATATGAAAATACTAAAGAATCTTTAAATTTAAAAAAAAAATTAATATATTGCCCTGGAGATTTTGACACCCATATTTCAACATCAAAATTGTTAGAAATTTATATATATATATATATATATATATATATATATATATAAAATTGCAAACAGTAAAATAAAATATAAAACTTTAGTCTCACATTCGTCTAATTATTATAAAATATGTAGATAATTTATAAGTTTTTTTTTCAATCTAGCATACGTTTTTAGTAAGAATTTGACTAATCTTCAATTAAATTTAAAAGATTTTTTAAATTTTAGTATAAGTTTAATGTTGTAATTTGACAAATATTCATTTCAAAAATACTTAAGAAGAAATAGATACCGAAGAAATATTTAAAATAAATTGTGTGCAATACAAGGCTCTAGATATAAAATTTAAATATACAGAGCCCTGTATTGCATACAGTTTGCTTTAAATATTTCTATTTTAATAGGATCTACTCGTAAAATATTATAATTTAAAAATACAACAGCATTTTAACTTTGCAACTAAAACATATTTCAATGGACAATTCCAGACATTCTATTTATATTATGAATAGAATGTCTGAACTGTTTATTAAAATATTATATAGTTGAAAAGTTCTAATACTGTTGTATTTTCAAATTATGATATTTTGCGAGTAGATCCTATTAAGATTTAAATTATTTAAATTGTATTTCGTATTAAAAGTTTTAAATATTTTTACAAATTAAAAATTTAATCAAAAGAACATACTTTTTTGTTCGAGGATTATATCATTTATCACAGTTGGATCGCCTTCATAAAGATTTGACATGGCACGAACCTGTAAGAAAAAAGCTCAAAATTAAATCAGATTCGTGTATTTTCCTCATTTCTGATAAATATGTCAAAAATACCTCAATTCTGCCGACTCTTGAATTAATATTTTCCATAGTCGAACATAAATATCCGTCCCATATTGGACAAGATGCCTCAGATTTAGATACATTGGCTGTTCTTATATTTCTATCGTTTGCACCAATAGTCGTGATTGAATATTTCTCAATTGTTGCTCCTCTGGTTATTTCAGGAGGTCTCCATCTCAAAGAGACTTTGTCACCATCAAATGAATATGCAGTTAAGTTTGTAACTGGTCCAGGTTCTAAAAAAATATTTAGAATTGGATTTGCAATTTAATTTATTATAATAGGCAAATCAGTGGTCAATGTTAAACAGTTACCTCCTTCTAGAGTTTTGAAATTTACTTGGACGTACCTAGTTTCTCTTCTTAGTTCTATGGTATATATTGTATTTGGTTGTAAATCTTTAATTATATATGCGGTATCGTTGAATTGATTAGCAATATTTTCACTTGCTTTTTCTTTTAATTTAATGTTGTAAAAATCCAGAGGACAATAACTTAACAAATTAGTATCCTGTTTGGAGTTTTAGAAATTAATCAATTTTAAAAATTATATTTAAGATCTATTTTGCACTTTAATTTAATCACTAACTTACCATTGCTATTCTTACATCATTTTTTGTCGGTTCCGTTACAATTCCTGTAATATTTATTTGCATATATTTATTTTTCTTTATATGTATACCAGTTAATATATATATATATATATATATATATATATATATATATATATGTGTGTGTGTGTGTGTATATGTATGTATGTATAGTTATTCTTTTTAGGTGAACATCTTGGTAAAAATACATTGATTCTTTTTCTTCAAGCTGTGCGAATTTCTAAAAATTAAAATTAATAAGTAAAAGTAAAAAATAGTAAAATATGTTTTATCTTCACTCAAGGACTAAAAAACGAGATATTAATGTCGAAAAATTATATATATAACATGCATCCGACAAAATAATAAATTATCAGTATATATATATATATATATATATATATATATGTATATATATGTATATATACTAGCTGATCCGGCAAACGTTGTTTTGCTAAGAAAGGTATATTCTAAACAATTTCTGGAGAATCAAAAATATTAATACTTTAAGTGTATAAGGATGTGTTGTCTGAATGCTATATACAATGAAGTATTATAAAAACAATAAACTCCATTAGATTGTCCAAATTTTGTCATAATGAAACTGGAAGTTTTATACACTTTCTATAGAAAACATGGTATAATTCAATCCAAGTCTTTTTTGGTCTTATTGATTACGACTTATTGATTACGTTTAAAGTTTTTCAGATTCTTTTTGAATACTGGATTTTGTGTATAATTGTAAATAATACTATTGAGCTTATACAAAAATTTCAAATTATTCTTTGTCCTGCTTTTTATCTGACTACGTTCAGTAAAACTGCATTTTCATATTAACATTTCAAAAAAGTTGATATTTTGAGTTTCTAGTAACACTTGCGATCCGTTTTGTAAGTTTTTGTGTATAAATATAACTACGAACACAACTACTTACTACAATTTAATCATAATTAAATAATATTCACGTAAAACATCCTATTAAACATAATTGAACATCATCTGTCAAAAACATTTGACATTTCACGTATTAGCCACCGTCCATTGTTTTATTTATATTACGCTTCTACAAAAATTTTCAAATTAAAAATGTAAAGTTTTGAAAACGCGATTTTGAAATAATATCTCACCTTTCCGACCGTCTGTGAATTGGCACGAATTTTTCAAGACTAATACTGGCCAAATCGGTTTAGCCGTTTTCGAGTTTTACCGGATCATTTGATCGAGAGCTCCATTTATATATATATATATATATATATATATATATATATATATATTTTCTGCAATTCAGTTTATAGTCATTACAATGAAAAAGGGTTTCATTTCCATTAACGATGATAATATAAAAACAGAGCAAAAATTAGACGCGAATATGTTTGTCAAAATTGACATTTTCCTTAACAATTGATCTTATTGTTTTTCATATGTTATATTTTAAAATTTGGACAAATTTTGAACACGTAATACCTCTACCATCAGCTGCACTCTCACATTTTGCTGCCACCTTTAATCCTTCTACATCATCATTGTAATCATTTTTTCCATCCAGTAGCAACAAAACTCTAAACCATATGCCATTCCTATTTTTATGGACACTCAAACTATCTCTAGCTATTTTATGAGGTACATCTATATTGGTTTCGTTATATTTTGAGATTGGCACTGGATGTCCAATATCCATCCAAGGACTTCCAGATGAACTTTCAACATACACCTGATATTGCAATGTCATATAATCTGCCCAACTTCGAACAGGGTCAAATGATCCGAGTCGAATTTTCATTTTTGAATAATTTGGCTCTGTAGCTATTATATTTTGCCCTACTTTCGTTTTAGCTGAAATATCAAAATACTTCATTATATCAAGTTTTCGTGTTAGTTTCAAATATTGCAATGTTGTAGTATTGTAATAAATTATTAAAGAAATGATAAGTAATTTTTACATTAAACCATGTCCTAATCAATAGAAGGATATTAAAGTATATAATTCATTATTTAAAGAATTTTAATAATTATTATTTGTGATTTTTAATACTTTTGCAAGCATCTCCATTGTATCCAGGAATGCAACTAGTTTGTTTTCCATTTAATGATGTGAGTCGAACTCTCTCGCAATTTTCTTTTGATTTAAACCATTCAGAACAATCGAACGGTCCATTTTTTCTTAAATGTTCTGTCAAATTATAATTTAATAAAGATTCCATTATAGTTTTATTCAATAGTCGACATTGTGTTTCAGGCATAAAACTAAGGCCATTGAAAAGTAAAATCTTGGATTCATCTACAACCATAATAAATTAAAATATACTAGTCAATAAAATGTTGTATATTGCAGGCAATAAAATTACCTATACTACAACTTTTAATATCACTTATTGCCCAAAAAGCATCATTTGGCGTTCTGATTTTATTTGTACTATATTTCAGTTTATACTTTGCCATAGGTTGCTCATCAGTAACGTTGAAAAGAATAATATTTTCTCTCACGTTCACTAATCCACTCGTGCTCTGGAAATACAATTCTTTATTTTGCAATAAATGATAATTTATATTAAATTTCATACCCCTTCGCCGTGGATTATATTTGAAGAAAATATATCTCTTTGCTGATTTTCCAGTTGCAACTGAAAACTGCATTCCGAGCAAAGGGCCATAGTCATCTTCAGGCAAACTTTACCATCTTTCACATTTAAGTTTAAATCATCTTTAAATAAGTGTTCTGATTGTATCATTTTGTTCCTCCGAACTATTGTTGCTATAAATAAAAATATCGATAATTGTAATAAATATTTATTAAAAGAAGACAAATTTTATATAAAAATCATGTACTTCATTTTTTCCAATTATAGATTCGAATAATACTTAGAAATGTTATTTGAAATCGTATCTAAATTAAATATTTAATAAATTTATTAATTAATTGCATTTTAATTTCCAAATAATTAATATTATGTACAAATGTGTAATGTGTAACAAATGCTTTGTTTGTTATTATTAGTTCCTGATAAAAAAACATGTTCTATATTCTCGAAACATAAAAAATATTTATTAATGAAAAATTCTCAAGAAAGTCTTAAGGTGTATATGTATGATAAAAATTTGTATCGTAAAATGTTTTTAAAAATCTCTTAAAAACGGTTTTAATTTATGTTGAACTATAATGAAATTGCAAATAAATTATATTATATAATGATGATGATAGTTCAAGAATGAAGTGAAACAAATGTTTCAAAAATTTATTTCAATTTCTACAATTTGAAAAACAAAACTTATAAAGTTTATTAATAGATTTATGAAAAATTAGAAAAATCTTCCTCGTGTTTAATATTTTATATCATTATCGAATGTCGTACACCAAAATGTTTTAATACATGCGTCCACATTTTTTATTTTAACTTATTATTACCGAAAACTTACAATTGTGTAGTTTCCATAACCCTCCTTCCAAGTACGTTTTTACACCAAACCATTTAATATCAAATGGATTCATTGTATCTTTATAATTTAATATTTGTTCGATTTCACCTGTTTCATTATTTTGTGAGTATACTCTAAATTCGGTGTTACTGTTAGATTTTTGTATCGAAAACGTGAAATGATTCCAGTGACGATCATTCAGAAGTGGCTGAAAATTACATTTTAGTAATAGACAAAATATTTTCTTATAAAAATAATTATAGTACGAATTCTTCCTTATTTTGTTCCCGTCATAATTAAAAACTTACACTATGAGTAGTTTCAATTTGAGTTTTGTTGCAAGATTCTTCGACAGGATATAGCGGAGGAATACCCATTTTACATTTTCGAATTAAAGATTTCGCATTATTGTATCCCGATATTATGACCATGTAACATTTGCTGTTACTGAAATCTTCATTTTCGCAAAACATGACATGGGCATCGGATTTTACTTTAAACGAAGCACTTATATACATTTCTTGGTCATCGATTGGATATTTAGGAAAATATATAAGAATTTTTTCTTTTGAAATAGTCATATTCCTTTCTTCGAAATCTGAAAATGCAAGTATTTTTATTTAAAATATTGATACAAAGTGAAATTAATTGAGTCAAAGACAACTAAATTTATACAAAACCATTCCATGCAGAATCAGTCCTTGGCGCAAAGTAGAATTTAGTGGAGTTTGTCTTTTGCCAGAAGTTGTCGTTTAATTTATGTTCCCATAAAAGATTTCGTGAACGTTCCGGCAAATATTTCACCGAATTGGTATCTGTTTCATGAGAAGACATAAACTGTATAAAAATGTTTAAAATTTGCGATATCATTATCTTGAAGTTGAAATAATTGCTGATTCGTTAATTATTTAGGAAACAATTAATAATCATCAATCACATATTTAATATTTATTGCGCAATTTACCAGTAACAATTTTATAAATAACTAATAACGATTAAGAGAATTATTATATGAAATCTATTAAAATTTATATAAAGTCTGTGCCTTGAATTTTATTTTTATGTACAAGAAAATTATAACAATAAATAAATGTTCAAAATATATAATTGTAAAATAAAAGTCAAACAAAGCTAGTACCAGGTTAATTTAAATTGTTCACTAACAGCGATCAAATTATTTATACTTATGGTAGATTTTTTACCATTTTGGTGGTTGACGAATGTATTCCATGCAACTGCTGATGTTGTTGCTTCTCCAGTCATCACACATACATGGTGTGTACCATTTGTGGCCACAAAGGCACCACTCTCGGCATGTGAAGAATAACACCATAGTTGTAACGCACTAAATCGATATTAGAAATATACATTAGATACATTTATACACAACAATAAAAAGGATACCCAATATACCCTTATTTAATACAGATATTTAATACCAACAGTCGTCCATGGACGACATCCGCGTGATGAACAGCGTGTACGGATGTTGTTCATGGATGACTTTTTTTGTATCGGTCTTTGTTTTAAAAACTATTAAACTGAAAACTAATGGTAATTCTAATTTACAAAACAAAATATTTAAGATTATTACTATTTCTTAAGCATTTTATCTGAGTTTGAATTTTCTCTAAGTGGTGGGTGCCGTAAACCTAGTGTTAATATATATAAATATATATTGAAGATACAGAAAATATTTAAACAAAGTAAATTTAATCGATACCATTTGTCTTTCACTATTAAATAAAGTTCATTTACTTGCGTTATTTCTCTGAAACTAATAAGAAGAAAGTTCTACTATATTAACTAAATATTAAGTTCTTCTGTTTTTGTGATATTGCAGAATTAAAAAAGTCTTGGTTGATACCTAAAATTACGTGTAAACATTTTCACATATAGTTATTTTTTTATTTAACCTGTTTCGTTTTTTAGTAGAACTTAATTCACTTTGAGTTGATTAGAACATTATAACTCATAGAATATATAATGCATATGAAATAATTGTTAACTAGCTGTAAGTGAAATTCTGTCTTAAGGCAATTAAGGCATCGTGCCTTAAGGCAAATTGCTGGAACTTCCCGTGCCAAAAATTATTATTTTCTTAAAAACGATTTTGAAAACATTTTTGAAAAAATTTTACTTCGAAAAAATAAGATTTTTTGGAAATTTTAAATTGGACGAAAAATTACTTTTTTTGGAAAAAAAAATTTTTTTTTTAAAAAAATTTTTAAACAATTTTTTTTATAAAATTTTTTTTTTGGAAAAAATGTTATCTTCATTTTGACATATTTTGGAAGATCTGAACTTTTTTTCAAAGCAATCGTACTTCTTTAACTGCATAGAGACAAAATATAAAGCGCGTAAGCGCCGCGTCGCTGTCTAACGGAAAAACATTAGTACGGAACCCATAGGAATGTAAACAAAACTTATACTTATTGTTAAAATCTCAATAAAATATCTGATAATTTGATATGCATATGTCTAATGTCTAATGATTATTGTTGACCGCCAAATGTTATTTTTTTTTTAGTTTTTTTTACTAGATCTCTGAAACCGCTAGACCTATCTTCATGAAAATTTGATCAAATCTTCATCTTGTTAATACAAGTAAAATGTTTTTTGAACTATACAAATCGGACGCTCCGTTCTCTTAAAAACTGAGTTACCGTTTTTGGCCCTTTTTGCCCCATATCTTTGGAACGGCTAGACCTACCTTCGCCAAAAACTAATCAGCACGTCTCCTTATCAATACGAATCGAATGTTTTTTGAATTATTCAAATTGCTTCATCCGTGTTCCCGAAATCGTCGACGAAAATTTGTATCCGAACACACACACATGCACGCACACACACACACACACACACACACACATACATCAATTTTCTCCAAGGTATGCCAACATATTCAGAAACCTCTGAAACGTGAACATATATAAAAATTTTCATTTTCGATTTTTTTGCGATTACTCACCCTATGGAAAGTTAATTATAAATAAATCAATTTATCATCTCCAGAACATTAACAATCGTCATTTCATTTCGAATCAAATTCAAAAAAAAAAAAAAGTTGCCAAATTTACACAAAATTGAAAAAGTGCTCCTGCATAGTCACAGTCTAAACGCATTTGCAAATAATTCTGTGCGACATTTTCACTTATACTGTGCTCAGATTGGCGGCATTTTCACATTTTTCAATAATTTTCACAAAATTGGAAAAGTGCTCCAGTACACAAACAGTCTAAACGCACTTGCGTAAACATTTGTACCAGAGTGGCGCTTAGACTGTGCTTAGCCTGGGTGATTTTTTGAATTTTTAGTCCAAAATTACAAAAAAAAATTTTTGAAAAAAAAATTAGAAACAAAAAATTTTTTTTTCCAAAATCAATTATTTTGTTGAAACAAGCAGAAAGTTCTTTGAATCATTTTAATCGGACGCTTAGTTCTCTCAAAAACTGCCATTTTTTTTAAATTTAGCTCTGTATCTCCGAAACCTCTGGGCCTACCTTTGCCAAAAACTAATCAGCACATCTCCCTATTAATAGGAATCGAATGTTTTTTAAACCATTCAAATCGGTTGTTCCGTTCTCTCAAAAACTCGCTTTCAATTTTTTGCACTCTTTGCTCCATATCTCCGTAACGGCTGGACCTGCCTTTGCCAAAAACTAATCAGCACATCTCCCTATCAATAGGAATCGAATGTTTTTTAAACCATTCAAATCGGTTGATCCGTGCGCCCGAAAACGTGGACGAAAAAAAGCGGACATACAAAACACACACACACACACACACACACACACACACACACACACACACACATCCATTTTTTCTGAAGTATGCCAAAATGTTCAAAAACCTTCAAAACGTCGAGAAATGTAAAAATTTTTGATTTCGATTTTTGGACGATTACTATAACTTACCCTACGGGAAGTTAAAAAATATAATTCCAAAAATTATTTCAAAACTCCAAGCCTTCTTTAATGATGAACAATTAGTTTTTTTCTGACTGGGGATGTAATTTAATTTTATTCATTCAAATTCATGATAAAGACAATAAATTTTTACAATTTTCTCTTTGGATTTTTGGATAAAGTTAGAACCAAAATAGAATTTATCTAGTGGTATTGTTATAATCTATTTCAAACCTTGTGTGAAAAAGTTCAATACGTTTCTAGCTGTTTGTTATCTTTGCTTTAAATATTAAAACAGAGAAAAGTTATTTAAGCCTTTCTACTCGGAAGCATATAAAAATACGTATTAATTCTGCAATTCGCGAGTGAAAAGGTTTAAAACTATATAGGAGTAGGTAGGTATATAAGTATCAGTAGTATTATATTTATAACTATGAGATTTGTATAATGACTAAAACTAATATACGAATGAAAAAAATCATAAAATATTTTCTCAATTAAAAAAAATTGATTAATCAATTTATTGATCTTATTCAGATAAGTTAAGTTATCACACTTGATAACTTGACATGATACTTTTTTGTGTAAAAATTTACTATGGCAGTATAAAATTTAACTTATCAAAAAGGTTCTGTTTTCATTAGTTGCTAATTTTCTGTCTCTTTGATATTTCTGTCATTCTGAATCATTTGACACTAAAATTGAAGAAATTATTGTGTGACCCTTAGTTGACCTTTTCTTATAATTAAAATACACATGATCGATTTAAAAAACAAAAAAAATTTATGCTGATTAGATTTTCTGCAATGATAGTAATTAATATTTAAAAACATATTTTTTGTATTTTTAATAACATAGTGATAAGGTTCATGGTTTTTATGAATATCCTAAAATTTTATAGCTCTACCTCAAGTGAATGAAATTTAAAATATTAATAATAATACAATTTTACATACTATGTTAAATTCTTTACGCAAATGCTGTTATAAATATTGTAAGTTTTATTTGAAATTCGATTGATTTAGTTATTATATTGACATTTAGTTTTATTTTGAAATAAACATTTAAAATTTTTATACAAATATAAAGTATTTGTCTTAATTATGATTTATTAAGTCGGGAAATTCATGCAACTTGCCTTGATGCAAAATTCCACTTGCATCAAGTTAAAAAAATTAATTCCTAATATTATTAATATTTATAGTTCTTTTTTTTCTAAAAACACCAATACTTGTGAAATGTTTAAAATTAGAAAGGATTACAGTATTTAATTATGATTTTAAGAAGAATGTGTGAGTCGATATAATAAATATTACAGATATAATGGAAAAAGTGTTGTTATAAAATATATGTGATATTTGTTTATAATTTATCAAAATTTGTATTTGTACGATTTATTTTAACTGCTAAAACTAAATCCACCTTACATCTGATCATAAAATCTGATTAAGTAATTTTATGCATTCTGAGCTTTTTTTTAAATTAATAGTCAATCAAACAATTTATTATCTAATATCATAAGGAAACTATTTATTTGAATTTAGAAAATGTAAAAACCGTTTGTGAGATATCAGTTGGAGGTAAACGCGAATTCGTATCGAGTAACATACAATGGTTTTAGAATTTTTGAAATCGGTTTGGCCGTTTCTGAGAATTTGAGGTCAAAAATCGGCTCAAACACACACACAAAATTTCAAATTTGGTCTCATTCAATTCAGAGCGACTTGCAACGTCGAATTTACTAGACTTGCAAAGTCACATTTACTAGATAAACACAAAACTTCTCCTTTGGGAAGTTCTCAATAGTAAATAGTTATGTACAAAATGATTGAATCTTGCTCTATAAATAAATGTAAACAAATTATACAAAACTTACATGAAGACAATTAGAATTTGATATCCCATTTTCCAACTGATATATTTTCAAAATTCATAAGCACCAACTATTTAATTTAAACTTCAATTTCTAATCCTTTACCGATTTTCACCAGTGGTTCTTTCCATTTAGAGACATTTTGCAAAATTGTCATTTGATGTCTCGTCGCCGGTGTTATCTTTTGCGATTTCAATTTCAACAAATTATTTCGAGAAAAGTTGCCGATTACTGAGGTGGGGCTGATATCACTAGACTGCACGGTGATAAGATAAAAAAATTACATATTATGAAGAATGATGACAATTTAGTCATCTGCTGGCAGGAGGAATGGATTGATAAATGATTCACTTAACAATAAACAATGTTGATATTTATATGTTATCGTTCGAGGAACAAATGTTTATTTAGTTTGTTTATATATGTTTTATTTGTCAGATTTCACAATTAATATACAACTCGTATATATATATACATATATATATATATATATATATATATATATATATATATATTATATATATTTGAAGTATTTTGCAGCCCGATCGTCGACCTAAAAAAAAGGTTAAAATGAAACAAATATTTATTCTATTAAACGTTTCGACGCTTAATGTGTGTCATCATTCAGCAATTTAAGAAAACATATTACATAAATAGCAATAGTTGATATTAAATATAAAAATATAAAAAAGAGAAATATATATACATACCAAACCAGGAAAAACACAAAAATTATATAAAATTTATTAAACACTAAACTTGTAAAGGACATCATAACTATAATAATTAATAAAAAGGGAAATTAAAGTAGCACATATTTTCCTTCTAATATTGCATGATATTCGCTCGCTGTGCATTACCACAACTGATCAAGGTTATGCGGCACGTGCGGTAGAGTGAGTGGTTGCGGGGTGTAAGAAACAAAAGAGGAATGAGAAACAGAGAAAGAGATAGAACGAATTATTTAAAATTCATCTTAGCATTCATTCAGTGGAATATTCTGTTAATTGCAATAATTAAACTGTGTAATAGTTTAAGAAAAAAATAATAGTAATAATAAACTAATCTAAAAACACTTACAATTTCATACCCTTAATTAATTATACACTATTGCACCATGATATTAAAGATGTGCACTATTGTGAAATTTATATACTTTGACATCACAAAACGCACAGATAGACATGTATAATATTTATTAAGATGTCGATAATGTGTACTGATTGTTCTCAGTTTAGGGTAGAAATGTTGTATTTTTTGGGGATGAAATTATATAAATATACTTGTCATAAAAGTTTGCATATATGTGTTTGGCAGATTATGAGAATGGTATAAACTATAGAATTTCTAGAATTTCTTGATTTTATAGAATACCTTGTATTTTTTTCGTTCAGAGATGTAAGTCGTTTCTTTTATTATTTGTTAATTTATGAATTATTTTTTAATCCTATCGCCAAATAATTGAATAAACAACAATTGAACAAGTTTTCGTTCGAAGTGTTAGATTTGAGGGTTAGAAAAAACTACGTTATGGTTTAACTTGTTTATTTGGTCTGGAATCATAGTTTTAAATTGTTTGCTGATTTTTTTAAATCGTTTGCTCAGATTTTACCTTGTTTCGCCTATGTAAATAAACTCGCAGTCAGTACCTTTTATTTGATAAGTTTCTGAGGCTGTCTGAATTGAATTTTGATTTTACTTCAGTAAAAATGGAGTTAAGGGTTGTATCACAATTACATACCAATAATAGATCACAATGTTAAAATAATTTTTTTACGAATATATATATATATATATATATATATATATATATACGAGGTGTGTTCAAAAAGTACCCGGAATTACTAATAATTAAATTTCGCGGGCCTGGAGTGTCTGATTGTCAAAATTTTTTTTTTATTGTGTTGGTATACATGCCCCTAAAGTATGATGAAATTTTCAGCTATATTCACTGTTTACTTTGTCTGTGGTAGTCGCTAAGGTTCGACGTGTTTTTCTGAGCTCGGCGATTTTTACAATGGAAAAATTGAAAAGTCAAAGAATTTGTATTAAATTTTGCGTAAAAATGAAATAAAGTGTTGCAAAGTGCAAAAATTCACCAGATATGGCTCCGTGTGACTTTTTCCTATTCCCAAAGTTGAAGAGACCCATGAAAGGACGGCGGTTTTCCTCGATTGAAGAAATAAAGGCCGAATCGCTGAGAGTGCTCAAGGACATATCAAAAAGTGAATATCAAGGGTGCTTCGAAAATTGGAAAAAACGCTGGCATAAGTGTATTATATCTGGGGGGGACTACTTTGAAGGGGACCACATTAATGTAGACGAATAAATAAATATTTTTTTGAAAAAACGAAAATTCCGGGTACTTTTTGAACAGACCTCGTATATATATATATATATATATATATATATATATATATATACATATATATATATATATATATATATAACATTGATTTCAAAGTAATTTTAATATCGCAATATTTCCAATAAATCGATGATAATATAAATGATAAAAAAAGATTGTTGCAATTATTGATATTACTAAAAATAAACGATAAACATTGCGAGATTTTATCTTATTTGTAATATTATCTTGTTATAAAAACTGTGGACTGATTTCTTCAGAAAACGTTATTGTTTAATTATTTGTTCGATATATGAGATATCGAATTTCTTTCGATGAGAAATTGACAAAGTTTAGATAACATACTTTGAAATATTTATTATTTTATTATTAATGATATTTTCAAAATTTTGACAATGGTCAGAAGATTTTGTATTTTAAAGTCATTTTTTCTCGAGAGTATTAATTTTGTGCAAATAGAATTTTTTTAACATAATTTATTATTAATAAAGCAATTGCTTTTTATTGCTTATTTTATATAAATATTATATTAATTATATTTATCAATTTCTATAATTATCTATATATTTAATCAATGTCACTACTGCTTGATATCATGCTGTCCGAGATGTTTATCGTACCTGGAACTTCTGTTCGAAATTTCTTTTTCCACTTTGAATTTACATTTCGACTTAAAAAGCACTGTATCATTTATTAGCAAATGTGATAATATTTTTTCACTGAAAATTTATATTTATTTTATTTCTTAAAATTTTGCACCGCACTTATCTGTCTGTTAACATAATTCTAGTTGTTGTTTTTATGTAAACATTTAAAATCAAAAAATTTATTTTTGTTCTATTAACTCATTTACTGAAAGTTTCCAAAAAAATTGGAGGATATAAAATCTAAATATTTGTGCTTTATAATATTACCTACTGTTTTGCCTGTTTTATTTCTTTTGTTACTTTTCCAAAAACTCGAGCAATTCCAAGAATTTAGAGTAACTATTTTCATAACAATGATTTTTTGTCTACTGAAAGTTGTTAAGAAAAAATAATACCCATTATTAGTACAAAACTACAATTATTTTTTCACAATAAATAGTCTAAAGTTTTTGCTTTTCAAACTTCGTTAATTTTTTTTAATTTTCACCATATGATAGGTACAATCAACACTATCACTTTGGATTGACGTTGAGTTCTGGGTCACCTTTGAGGGTAAATTTTAGTTTGTAGACGTTGTACTTTATTTCCAAACATTTTTGGATAAGTTCTGAAATTTGACTTTGAAAAAAAATGAGAAAAAAACATTCAGGATAAACACAAACTAGATGAGAAGAAATTTTGCAAAAAGAATTCATACAATCTGTACTCTTGAAAACAATTTCGGTTCACAAATATTTTCCGGTAAATAGTCTGGGTGAACTGATTCATTATTAAAATAGCTTCAGTGATAAATTAGTTTTAAAATAATTTAAAAAATAAATGGAGATAAAATAATTCCAAAAATAATACCCCAAAAATGTGTAGAATATAATAAAAGCACTTGTACATAACACAAATTTATATTTATATCGATATCATTATTACCATACATTATATTATTTAGTGCCTTAGTTAATGACCTTAGTTTTAAAATATTGTAAATTACATTTATGACAGAAGTCTGAAATAATGATTAATTTGAGTATCTATAAATATTTTACATTGTCTTCAGGTTTGTCGAGATAATCGAGTGCAGCTTCCAATAAATACTCGTACTGTTCCTGCAAAAGATATGAAGATTTATAAAACTATTTGTAGTAGAATAGATATGAACAAAAGAATTTAGACCTCTTTTCGAACAAATTCCTTTCTGTATTTCCTGATGGTCTTTAAAGCGAGTGGGACGTCGCATTCGCCGTCGATCCTCATTTTTTCGATGACGAACACTAGTGCTGCGAAAAGGCCACAAGCAGTTGCTCCATCACTGAGGATAATAATAATTAGATAAAATATATTTAAGCAATAAATCAGATCGAATTGTGTTATATTACTAGCAAGTCAGAAGAATAGGACTCTTTTCAAATTCGCTCTCTTCAATCGCCTCCTTTACCACTTCCCACAATTGGACAAGAATGTTAGTTCTATGAGGTGCATCTCCTGAAGGCAAAGTCTCATCACTTTTCCAACCCTTCCATTGCATCACCTTGACTTGTGAATGATTTTCTGGTGACTTTTCATTACTCACAAGTACATCATAGACTGTGCAGAAGTCGCTATCGTTCTTGTTCAAAGTTTTTATAGTAATACGAGGTGATGGTTGAATTTCTTGGTTGATGCGAGTTGGTACGAATTTGACCACTGTCTGTAATAATATGATATTTTACTGTATTATGATTGTCAGAAGACAATTTCAATGATTAACTTACAGGATCCGTTATATCAACTTCGTTAAATACGATCACAATCTTGACTCTCTTATCAAAGATCATTCTCCAGTAGTTGTCAATAGTTTGTTCCAAAGGAAAATGTGTGACGATAAACTGTTCCTTGGTTTTGAATCCATCTACAAGTACTGCATTTATGTAATCCGAATCAGGATTTGCTAAAATCGCTCGTGTGATGACGACCCTTCCTTTTTTACCTGCAATATACATAATGTTAGAATTAATTCAAGTGATGATCATATTGACAGCATACCAGCTACTATAGTGTTTCTGTTTTCCGGCCTTAAAACTTCTTTTGCTGTTGGTTTGTCCTTCATTCCAGTAATATAATCATCTTTCCATGATACTTGATCCAAATATCTCCATTGATCCAACAAGGTATTAGAATCTTTCATCTGGTAAATTGTTTGTTTTAATTGAAAACATGGTATGGCAGTCGGTTTGCCCGAAAGAGTTTCCAGAACCGTCAGGTGCACCAATTTGTACAGATTCTGAAGTAAAAAAAATCTTTAGATATAATAGCTCATAATTATTTTGATCATTTATCTTACCTCAGAATTAACGAGCTTTGCCCTTTGTTTTCGAATTTGGTTCAGATAATACAAAACGTCTATTTTACCAGTTGCTCGAGCCATCTTGACGCAAATATCTGCCAGAATGAAGGTACCAGTTCTGCCATCGCCGGCACTGCAGAATATAAAACATACTAAAAACTATCACAAATTATATTGAGAATCCAAATAAATTTAACCTGCAGTGAACTACTTTTGGACCATCATTGGATGAAATCTTTTGAAACTCTGTCAACAATGGAACAAGAGAATCCGCATAACGAGTTGTTTCGTGATCGGGCCAATCAGTGTAATGCAGATGCAAAACCTAAAATTGAACATTTTTTACTTGTTTCTTAATAACATAAGAATATCATCCCTATGTACTAACTGAAGATCGCTCATTTTTAGAACTGATCAACAATTTCCTGACAATGTAGTCTCCGCTCATTTTTGTAGTTTCGGGATTGGTTATCGTAATATTTCCATATTTACATGCGTTTTCTATTGGAGGCCAATATTGGAAGCATTTGTCCTGAAATTAATTTTAATCGTCAAGAAATGATCAGTTGATCAACAAATTTATAATGTTGCATCATTACTAAATTCTTTTCCTTTAATTGTGTCAACATGCAGATGACTGAAACTTTTTCCTGCAAAATCATTCGCCAGAAATCGTAGGCAGTGTTCTCCTTTGGCCCTTGAGTTGCTATGTATTCCTTGGATCTTTCAAAACCCTAAAAACGGTTACATATTATATATTATGTTAATTTAAATTCAATTTTTCAACTTACATCGATGTAACTTGCGTTGATGTAATCAGACCAAGGATCGTTTGGAAGTGAATCCAGTCTTACACTCGTCCAATCATCTAGAATGGAATAAGTAAACTTGTGAATTAAATATCGTGGTATAAATAGTAATATCGAATCTTACAAGGCAAGGTGTGAATGTATCGATTTTTATCCCTGTTTTGTAGTTTAAGTGCATTCGAAACGGAATAATCGAACTTTTTAGGAATTGCCTGAAATTAAAGACGTATTATTTAAAATGGACTAAATATTGTAAAATCTTTTAATTAACCCTGTGTGATCAAAGGTGCTAAAAGCATTAAGAAAGGTTATTAAACCTTGTACTGTTTGTCCAGAGTTCCGTCCAATAAGGATCTCCTGACGTAGTCTTCAAAATCTTTTTCACTTACTGGATGACTTAGAATAATTTGCTTATTTATAAGAGGAAAAGAGGCATTATAAACTGTTCCATCGTTTTGAATTGCATTCGTTTTTTTGTGTTTATACCTAGTTAGAATACCTCTTTAATCAGTAATCAAAACTGGAAATGTTTATTTGTATTTCTATTAATTTCGTACTTACCAAACAAAAACGACGACTGCCAGAATTGGAATCAACAAAAGCAGGAGGTTCCATAAGGAAGAACTTTGTTTGATTCCTATAATTTTTTCATTGAACAAGGTCTTGTATGTATAATTCTCACCATCGGTATTATAAAAGACTACAGATATTTTGTAATCTGTTTCTTCCGACAAGACGAAATCCATAAAGTCACCATCAATAGAATTTGTACCAATCAATACTTTTTGATGTATTAAGATATCCGCCTGCAAATGAGTTAAGTTTTTAACTTGAACCTATCAAGTGCAATTTAGGTAAGAAGCAATTTTTTACAATATTCATCCGTTTTGCTATCCATGTTACGTAATCATATTTCTCAGCTACTGCAGCCTCTTCAAATATCTTTTTGTATGTAAATTTGTATCGGTTGTGATAATTTTTTTTGTCTTCAGAAAGATTATCACTCATAGGTTCTCGGATGACCACATAGTAACCACTGAAAAATGTAATCCATATATCATTCCTGCACAACATTGACCATTATTGCTATTATTGTACCTGTTTTTAGTTGAATTTGCTAAACTGTTTGTATCAAGAGGAATATTAATTTCTATTCTATTTGCAACTAGTCGTGTTGCGTATAATTTTACATTAAGGTTTGGAACTGGAAGAGGCGTCTTTAATTTAATTTCCGACATTTCTCCTTGGAAGGAATTACATGCTCTAACTTTAACACTATAAGTACTGGCAGGAGATAATTCTTTCAACTAAATAAAATAAAACAGTTCTATAACTTTGATTAATTTAAAGTGATAGTCAGTAATGAAATACATCACCTTGAATTTATATTGTTTCTTATCTTCAAATACACTAACATTCCAATAAAATGTATTACTACTTGGATGAATCAGTAGTTCAGATGACTCTAGTGCCCATGATATTTGGAAATGTTTAATTTTTCCACCAGGAATCCAAGGATGTTCCCAAACTATTGTGTCATAGTGATCAGTGTCAACTCGCAAATTCAAAGGTGCACTAGGTTCTAAAATTATAAGTTCCAATTTATTTCTGAAACATAAACTTCTCCTTCGGGAAGTTAATAAGGATACACTTATGATTTTTAACTAATTTAGTTGTAGAAAAGTAACAGTTTAATTAATAAAACATGACAAATAACATATATTAAGTCAACTAAACGTTTCAAATTGAATTACAAATTTGACTTGTATTTTGTAAATTCTAAAATTAATTAAAAAAACATACTTCTTTGTTCGAGGATTATATTATCTATCACAGTTGGGTCGCCTTTATAAAGTTTTGACACAGCACGAACCTGTAAGAAAAAAGCTCAGAATTAAATCAGATTCAAGTGTTTTATGTGTGTTCATAATTTGTGATAAATGTATCAAACATACCTCAATTTTGTATACGTCTGAATCAAGAGATTTTATTGTCGAACATAAATATCCATCCCATAATAAGCAAGATGCCTCAGATTTATATACAGTGGTTGTTCTTGTATTTCTATTGTTTTCATCAGATATTGTGATTGAATATTTCTCAATTGTTGCTCCTCTGGTTATCTCGGGATCTCTCCATCGTAAAGACAACTTGTCACCATCAAAAGAATATGCTGCTAAGTTTAAAACTGGACCTAGTTCTAAAAAATATTTAGGTTGGATCTGCAGTTATTTCTTGTTTTGTAATTCGAGAATTAGTGTATAATGTTAAACAGATACCTCCTTTCAGTGTCATAAATTGTATTTGGAAGTTTTTTGTTTCTACTCTGAATTCAATGTAGTATTTTGTATATGGTTCTAAATCTCTGATTATATATGAAGTATCGTTGATACGAGTAGCAATGTTTGCACTGGTGCCCTCTTGTAATGTAATGTCGTAATAATCCACAGGACAATATCCTTTTTTTGGCCTATGCTGATTCAAGATTTGAGAAGTAATCAACTTTTTAAATTAAATTTTTGTTTTGATGTGCAATTTGAATGAATCACTTACCATTGAGATAGTAACATTATTTTTTGTAGGTTCTGTTACAATTCCTATAATATATACATGTATATAAATATTCGCGCATTCAATTCAATTATATATTTATAAAACTAAATGAATGAAAATGGGATTTAAAAGTGAATTTGAATGAATTACTATTTTCATATAAATAAATTTCACGATTTTCACGTATAATATTTTTTGAGTAATGATATATTACTAGCGTCAATATCAAATATATCAAACTGAGATTAATATTTGTATATAAAATATATATTCCTTAGTTCTATTTTCACGATTTATTTTTCTAATATATATTTTTTTCTTTTTATTATACAGGCAGTCCTCGTACTTACGGCATGTTAGGTTCTCGAAATACGCGACGTAAATCGAAACGACGTAAGTCGAGACATATTTTTTCATATGTTTACATGTAAAACTCAAGGGTTAGGTTCCACACGGACTCGAAATAATAAAAAAAACTGCATTTATAACAAAGGACGTACTTTATTATTAAAAGTAAGTTCTTAAAATAATTATAAATTATGTACTTATGAAATTGCTAGTTATTTTTGGTATTTGTATGTTATTAATTTTAATAATAATTATAAAACTTATACATATGTAATGATAAATAATAAATTAAACTTTTGGCTTAAAGAAACTATCAATTCTAGATTGCTTGGCTTCTTTCTTCTTGCTATCATACAGATCTTGGTAACAGTGATAGGCTGCACAAATTTTGTTATTAACGTTAAAACTTCTCTCAAAATTAGGATCATTTTCTTCAAAAATTTTCATGGCATTCTTCAAATTTGCAAAGGCTACGGAAAGTTTTTTTAGTGTAAGTTCTTTTTCAGAGTCACTAATAGAAGAAGCTATTTCTTGTGACTCGAGTGCTTCCTTTTGTACTTGTGCCTCCAATTCAATAAGATCTTCATCAGTCAGTTCTTGCGAATGTGAGCTTAACAGATCATCAATATCATCAGTAGTAACTGCAATGTCAGGGAAACGGTTAGCCAAATGAACAATGTCAGTTGTGATCTCATCGACATTTGGTTGATCTGTAGATGTAGAACTTTCAGATGGCTCAAAAAAAAATGGGCATAACTTTTTCCACACTCCTTTTAAATTGTTGGGTGTCACCTCATCCCATGAAGTAGCAATATTTTTTACGCATTGCAGGATATTATAACTTTTCCAAAAATCTCTCAGCTCCATGCCATCATTTTCATTAGCCTTTACAGCCTGTGAAAAAGTTCTCCTGAGATAATAGGCCTTAAAAGACGCGATAACTCCTTGATCCATCGGCTGTAACAATGAAGTGGTGTTGGGAGGCAGGAACACGACTTTGATTTGAGGATCAATATCGGCAATACGCACAGGATGGCCGGGAGCATTGTCCAAAATAAGTAAAGCTTTATAAGCCAAATTATTGTTTGAACAGTACTGTTTCACTTCAGGTATAAAATGCTTAGTAAACCATTCTTCAAAAAGTATTGATGTAACCCATGCCTTTGGATTAGCCTTCCATATAACTGGAAGAGTACTCTTGACGTAATTTTTGAGAGCTCGAGGATTTTCAGACCTATAAACTAAAAGGGGTTTCAATTTAAGATCACCTTCAACATTCGAACCCAATAACAACGTCAAACGATCTTTAGCCGCTTTAAATCCAGGCATAGACTTTTCTTCCTGTGATATAAAAGTACGAGAGGGCATTTTTTTCCAAAACAAACCAGTTTCGTCCACGTTAAAAATTTGTTTAGGCGAATAGTCTCCACTTTCGATAATTTCCTTTAATATTCCAGGAAAACTCTGAGCAGACACATGATCGGCACTAGCAGCTTCTCCTTGCACTCGAATGTTATGTAACGAATATCTCGTTTTAAAGCGCATGAACCATCCGCGACTGGCAGAAAAACACTTTGATTCGTCACTATTATTCTCGCCACGTTTATTTTGCAGTGTGTTGATGATACTCAGCGCCTTATTTTGTATAATAGCCAAACTTAGAGGAACCCGTCGCTGAGTTTGATCTTGAATCCAATTGTACAACAGTTTTTCCATTTCATAAATTAAAGCATTCCTTTTGCGTATAATAGTGCTGTTTGAAGAGACGGAAGGAAGAGCTGTTAAGAGTTTTTCTTTATCTTTCAATATTGTTTGTACCGTCGTGCGTGATAAATTAAGTTCTCGTCCAATAGATGAAGTCGAATAACCGCGATCTTTGAGTTTTAAAATCTTAGATTTAACCTCCATTGTAATTGACTTTCTTACTCTCTTCTTCACTTTATTATTACAGTCTTGTTTAGGTGGCATTGTTTAAAATTCACTTAAATATGTATGTAAACACAAAAACTGTCAAAGATGCAAAAAAACTAATTTATTACGTCTTGATTGTCCGTTGTCCCTGAATGTACTAAACAAAATCAGCGACATTTGCGGGGTATATTCCCCGCACGAGACGACACCGCGCCCCGCCCGCGCCCCGCCCGCACCCCTCACGGACACAGACCATGCGACAAGTGAATTCTCCGATATGCCGCAAATCGAAACAAATGACGTATGCTTGAGGAATAGTGTCAAAACATTGTTTGACGTAACTTGAAACGACGTAAATCGAAACGACGTAATCGAGGACCGCCTGTACTACATTTACCAGCAGCTCCATCATAACATGTTGCTACCACTCTTGATCCTGGTACATCATCATTGTATTCATTTTTTTCATCCAGAAGCAACAAAACTCTGAACAATATTCCCTTTTCCTCATTATGGATCCTCAAACTATCTCTTGCTATTTTATAAGGTACATCTATATTGATTTCGTTATATTTTGAGATTGGAACTGGATGTCCAATATTCATCCAAGGACTTCCAGATGAACTTCCTTCATTCACCTGATATTGCAATGTCATATAATCTGCCCAACTTCCAACGGGTTCAAATGATTCGAGTCGAATTTTCATTTTTGAATAATTTGAATCTACAACTGTAATAATCTGCTTTACCGTTGTTTTAGCTGAAATATTTAAAATCTTGTTCTTATCAAAAGCTTCTTAATGCAGTAATAAGTAATTGTAGTATTTAATGAATTTATTGAAAAGTAGTAAAAATAAAAATAATTATCTTTGATTTTTAGTACTTTTGCAATCTTCTCCGTTGTATCCGGGAATGCAACTAGTTTGTTTTCCATCTAATGATGTGAGTCGAACTCTTTCGCAATTTTCTTTTGACTCAAACCATTCAGAACAATTTAGTGGCCCGTTTTTCGCCAATTGGTTCTTTAAATTATAATTCGACAAGGATTGCATTACATTTTTATGTAATAGTAGACAATGTTGATTTGTATAATCAATACCTCTGAAAGGAAAAATTTTGGATCCATCTGCAACAATAAAAATAAAAAGGTATTAAAAGCTAGAAAATGTAATGTATTGGATGTAATATAATTACCTATACTGCAACTTCTAACATCACTTATTGCCCAAAATGCATCATTAGACATTCCTATTTTAATTGAACTAAATTTCAGTTTATACCCTCGCAAAGGTTGTCTATTGGGAACATCGAATAGAAAAATATTTTCCTTCGTGTGCAAAAATTCATTCGTGATCTAAAAATATACATCTTTTATTTTCCAATAATTCATAATTTATACTAAACTAATACTTCTTTGCCGTGGATTGTTTTTGAATAAAATATAATTCCATCCTGACTTTGCAGTTGCAACTGAAAACTGCATTTTGGGCAAAGGGCCATCGTCATCTTCAGACAAACTTTACCATCTTTCACGTTTAAGTTTAAATTATCTTCAAATAAATATTCTGATCGTATTGCTTTGTTTGTCCAAATTACTGTTGCTGTGAATAAGCAATAAATATAATATTTTTATCAGAGGCGTTAACTCAAATAAATAATTATAACAAATATTTACCCTAGTAGAAATGTATCGTGGCTAGAGGGGTAAAATATCGTGGCGCAATATTCGAATCTTGTCTTTAGATGGACCGGACAATATTTGTTTTCAAAATTATGGAAAATTTGGAAAATTCATCGGAAAAGTGTTTTATATGGTTTATTACAAATAATAAACATGTTTCCCATCTGATTTACGCCTCCAATTTTATATTTACACAAATTATACATAATTTTGAAATGTGGGTTTCATGCATTTTTTTCTGGGCGACCAAGATTCGTTTTTTCAGTATTATCGAACTTGGGAAATACATGGTATTTATAAGGGTCACGAAAAAAAATAACTTTAAATAATTAATCAGCCCCAAAATCATGATTAAGGCTTTTAAAAAGTCATATGCTCGATCGCAATTAATAGTTTGATACATTTTTCTTATAAATTCAATATAAATTTTAAATGTGGGTTTCATGCATTTTTTTTCTGGGCGACCAAGATTCGTTTCTCCAGTATTATCGAAGTTGGGAAATATGTGGTCTTTATAAGGGTTACGAAAAAAAATAATTTTAAATAATTAATTAGCACCAAATCATGATTAAAGCTTTTAAAAAGTCATATGCTCAATCGCAGTTAATAGTTTGATACATATTTCTTATAAATTAAATATAAATTTCAAATGTGGGGGTTATGCATTTTTTTTCTGGGCAACCACGATTTGTTTCTTCAGTATCATCGAACTTGGGAAAAACATGGTATTTATAAGGGTCACGAAAAAAAATAACTTTAAATAATTAATTAGCACCAAAATCATGATTAAAGCTTTTAAAAA